CCCCAAAACCCCAAAACCCCAAAACCCCAAAACCCCAGTCTAGCTATTCAAAACTGATATAAAAATAAAATTCTTTTTTAATACAAAAGTTCCTATATAAAATGGAAAAGTATGTAACCTTTTGTGCTGAAAACTGTGGCCACGAAGCCATATACTATGTTGAAGAGACCCAAAGTTATTATTGTATGCACCACTTTGATCTAAATTATCAAACTGAGGATGGAATACCCTTGACATGTCCAGATGCAGTCAAAACTAAGGTGAGACGCCTTGAAAAAGGATTAGAAATGTTCTTAAAATTTGCTGAAGAGAAACAAAAATCAGAGACTGATAGAGAAGAAAATCGGAATGTTCATACTAGGCTAACCCAAGCAGTGGAAGAGCTTAAGTACAAGATCGAACAAGCTGAAGAGGATAATATGATGTACAGATTCACTGATCTCAACAAAGAAGCATCATTAATGAAGAAAATGATAGAAGATGAGCTTGGCTTAAATGATTTTAGCAAAGATTGTTTTTGGAAACTTGCTAAAGAGGATGATACCGTCCCTGCAGCAGCCAGTAGTTCAACAAAGAAGGCAGACGGCCTTGCCCTGGAGCAAGAACTTAAAACGGAAGAGGCTGAGATTGGTCGCCTAGAGGAGGAAGTCAAGGAGCTTAAGATTAGTAAATCCCCCATCCCACACACTGCCCAATCCCCAGCTACCTCTCCAACTCCACCGGCACCCCAAGAATCTCCCCTCAAACTCGAGATGGCCAGAAGTTCTATATGTAAGCATTCTCTTAGTCTCTAGTCCGAAGATGTATGGAGTACATGGCATCTCTGCCCGAGTTCACTTTTAATTTAAAAATGAAGTTTGATAGGAAGATGCTTAAGCTAGTTGATAAGGAGTCTTTGAGGCATTTGCAGGGGGTCTGCCTGTTGCAGTTTGATAAGATTGATGCGGGTAAGTGCAGGGTTTTACCCCTTTAGCCACCTTCCAAACCTTCATTTCCCTTCTTCCTTCTCCAATCGAGCGTCTCCGCTTATCAGGTTCCTTCCCATACCCTTCAATATCTCCTTACATTCCTTCAATCCTGTCTCTCAGTACAAGTCTGACTCACACTCTTGAATTTGACTGTATTGCAATCACGAAAGAAGAGAAAAAGAAGATAAAGAAGGCATTTAAGGGCCTAAACGTAGGTGTTGAATATTGTAAGTGGACTTAGTGACTGGTGTAGGGAAATGTGAGTAGAAGAGATAATGTTTTAGGGAAAGTTAAGGTTTTGAGTTAGGAGAAATGGAAAGTGGTGGGTAAGTGTACTGTTTTGTAAGATGCAAATTATTTCAACATAGAATCTTTGGAAAGGGGTTTTGGGGTTTTGGGGTTTTGGGGTTTTGGGG